GCAGCCGCCCCGCCCGGGCCCCGGCACCTCTCCCAGGGCTGGGCCCCGGGCCTGCGCGAGGACGGCCGACAGGAGACGCGCAGGTACCCTTGGCAGGCACGGGGCGCCTACGTCTTAATCGGTAGACTTTTTACATCCAAGTGAGGACGCCAGGCGTGATCATGATATTTATCGTCAGTATCACTTCATGCCCGTGCCGGGGAGAAGGCGGAGCGCGGCTCCGGGGAAGGCGGCGCCGCCCGATTAGAGGCCAGGATGCGCGCAGCCCGCGAGACGGGCGCGGAGGGTGAAAGGACGCTCCCTATTTAACACTCATGGTCTTGGATCCCATTCTCGGGCAAATAGAAAGAAAGTAAAACGGAAACAAAAAGGAAGGGCAAGGGCTGTCCTCTCCCCCGAAATGACAAGTGGAAACAACAGAAAAGGTTACAGCGAAGTCCTCTTTGCGCTCTCGGTAGATCAGAAACAGCCTGGTGAGGCCTGGCTTCCCCACCTGCGCTCCGCTGGCACTAAGCTGGGTTTCACAGAGCAGGGCGGGGGTGTGCTGGGGGAAGACCGTCAGCGACACGGCTCCGCATGCCCTGGGTTTTGGTTTGCTCCTTTCCTTGCTTACTGGAAAGACCTCTTCTGCCTGTGATCCCCACTGAGCTCTGGCAAAGGCACAGGTTGGTTTCGGGAAGACCTCAGCAGGTGCTGCCTCCTGGGCTTTTCCTTCCGTGCATTGCGGAAACTGGGACAGTGCCCCTTCCACTGTTCTGGGGGAAGAGCCGCAGCCCCAGTTTAGGGCCGGGATTAGAAACCTTGCCCCATTTACATATTACATCTTCACATTTAACGTTTGAGCCTCCTTGTGTTGGGATGGACGGGAGCACATTACTCTAACTTACCAGCAAATAATGGCCTCAAAAAGGTTAAGAGACTGTCCCAAGGTCCATCCTAGACCTCCAGGTAAAGCCAGCAGGCAGACCAGCCTCAGGGCCAAGGCCGGTGTCTTTCCCACGTCCCCGCCTTGCTCTCCCGCAGGCCTGAGACCCAGGCTCTTGCCTCCCCTCCCCAGATGCTCGGGGTCACCCTGTCCTTTTCTACCCAGTTGGGGCTGTGGGTGCCCCTCCCAGCAGGTCCCCTCCTCACCTCTCCAGGGCCCGGAGCTCCTGGGGGTCTTGCTGCTGACGCAGCTAGGGGTGTAGCTGCTGGGCTGGCTCAGGGCCCGGCTGAAATGCTCGTCCACCACGGCGCTGATGTCTCCCTGGAAGTAGGTGAAGAGGACGCAGCGCGAGCTGAGGTACTCGGCCGCGGGCGGGCGCTCTTTCTCCGCGCCACCTTCCTCCTCTTTTATGCTGGCCGCCGTTTGGCTGGAAAACGAGGAGCTGCCGCTGCCGCTGCTGCTGGGGCTGGCGGTGCACTCCGGGGCTTCCTGCATTTTGGAGTAATAGGCTAGCTTCTGCTCGGGAGAGAAAGAACACTGGGTCAGTTTCCAAAGCCCGGGCAAGTCCTGACCCGAGCGTCCCCGAGGGGCCCCTGGGGGCCGGCTCCTGCGCCCACGCCTGTGCCCTCCACAGGGAACCCGCCAGCGGGTCAGCAGCCTTCTGCGTGCACACCCCAGGGGGCAGCTCCCACGGGGCCACTCTGCGGTCCGAGGCCCGGTCCTCCCGAGATGCTGCCGGGTGACAGGGTGACCTGTCCTAAAACGTCGGGGACAGAAGACACCAAAAAGCCAGGCCTGAGCTGAGTCCGCCCAGAGCAACTCAGGCTGGCACGCTTTGGAAGTCAGGCACTTAGGGTGAAGGGGGCCGGACTCTGCCCTGGGTCCCCCCAGAGCTCAGCCTCGGGTGCCAAGCATCCCCGCGAGACGCGACATCCCGCCTGCTGCAGCACAGCCCCGGGCTGGCGGCGGCCCTGCCCTGGGAGGTGTGAGGGGAAGAGCGCGTTCGGGGAGGAGGGGGCCGGCGAGGCGCAGCGCTCTCAGCGGTCGAGCTGCCGTCTGTTCACACGTCCGTACACCGTCCGTTTAAAACCGGCCGCAGCTTTCAGACAGACCTTTAGGTAAGGAAAGCCAGCGGACCGTACCCCGCTCGGCCGCACGCACGCGGCGGGCAGAGGTGGTGAAACGAGCAGGAGGAAGACCAGATTTCGACTGTGAGGCTGGGTCCATCCCGCAGGGTGGCGGTAACTCCTACAACCACTAAACATTTCCTCAGGGGCGAGCAGTGTCACAGCACCGCGCAGACGGGGATGGGCTCTGCGCCCGAGTCACACAGAAGCGGAGACCTTAAAGGGCGGGAGGGGCGAGGACCCGACGCCGACCCTGCGAGCGAGCCGTCCGTCCCGCGCGCAGGAGCGGTCGCGCCGCTGCCCCAGCGCCGGCTCCCCACCGCCTCCCGACCGCGGGCCTGCGCAGGTTAGTGGAGACCCGAGCGCCGCGGGGCGCGGCTGGAGCGCGCCAGAGGCAGAGGCAGGAACGCCGAGCGCGAGCCGGAGGCAGAGGCAGGAACGCCGAGCGCTCACCCGGCGCGGCGGGCCTCCTCCGCGCTTCCGAGCAGACGCTGCCACCAGCGAGGGGCCTGCACCGCGCAGCCCAGGGGAGCGGC